CAATTGCATAACTTTCAAGAAGACTAAGTGTGAGGTCTTGCACTTGAGCTATAACAACCACACGGAGTGGTACAGGCTTGGGGAAGAGTGGTTGGAAGCTGCCTGTCAGAAAAGGAACCTGGGGCTGCTGGTCAACAGCTGGCTGAACAGGAGCCAGCTGTGTGCCCAGGTAGTCAATGAGGCTAATACCATCCTGGCCTGCATCAGAAATACCATGGCCAGCGGGAACAGGGGAGTGATTATCCCTCTGTGCTCAGCACAGGCAAGACTGTATCTCAAGTATTGTGTTCAATTTTGGGCCCCTCACTGCAAGAAAGTTACTCATTTGCTGGAACATGCTCAAAGAAGAGCAATAAGAGTGATGAAGGAACTGGAAAAGAAGACGCATGAGGAGTGGCTGATGGAACTGCGGCAGCTGAGTCTAGAGTAAAGGTGGCTGAGGAGAAAACTCATGGCTCTGTACAACTACCTGAAAGGTTGCAGCAGGCAGGGTGTTGGTCTCTTTTTTTCAGGTAATAAGTGGTAGGATGGGAGGAAACAGTCTCAAGTTGCACCAGAGAGGTTTAGATTGGATACTGGGAAGAATTTCTTCATGGAAAGGGTGCCCAGGGAAGTGGTGGAGTTCCCATGCTTTGTGGTATTTAAAACACATGGAAGTGATGCTTAGGGACATGGTTTAGAGGTGGAGTTGGTAGTGTTAGGTGATGCTTGAGCTTGATAATATTAAGGGTCTTTTCCAACCTAAATGGTTCCAAGATAATGGTGAATTAACCTTTTGACTGCAAGTTTTCCTTTCAGTATTAAAATTAGAAACAATAAATAGAGAGTAAGAGAAATTAAACAGAACTAAAAGTAGTGAACTTCACCATGGAAACATTAAAGCTCTTAGTCTACTTAGCACATTGAAACAAACGCTAAGACTGATTACAGTGTGCAAGTGTAAAAACAAGGAGAAAATACTATCGCACTAGAGGCTACCTAATCTGGAAGAGAAAGACCTGAAAAGTATAAATGGGACAGAGCTGACATTCCAGCAATTCCATCAGAACAAAACACAAAAATTTATCAATATTTTTAATTTCTTAGAAAGCATAAGGAAAAAAAAAAAATCAAAGAAAAAGCAGTAAATTCTCCATTGCTCACTGTTTTAACATCATGCTGCAATATATGGCAGGGGGTGCACAAATGGAGAGCAACTTAGCTGTAAAGGACCTGGGGATCGTGGTAGACAACAGGTCAAACATGAGCCAACAATGTGCACTTGCCACAAAGAAGGCTAACAACATCATTGGGCTGCATTAGGCAAAGTATTGCCAGAAGGTCGAGGGAGGTGATCCTGCTCCTCTACTCAACACTGAGGAGGCCACACCTTGAGTGCTGGGTCTGGTTCTGGGCTCCCCAGTACAAGAGAGACATGGACATGCTGGAGAGAGTCTAATGAAAGGACTCAACCATGATGAAGGGACTGGAACCTTTCACTTATGAGGAGACTCTAAGAGAGCTGGGACTGTTCATCCTGGAGAAGGCTGGAAGGGGATATCTGAAGGGAGGGTGCAAAGAGGACAGAGCCAAGCTCCTTCCATTGGTGCCCAGTGACAGGACAAGAGGAAATGGGTGCAAACTGGAACACAGGTGGTGCCATCAAGAAACTTTTTCTCACTGTGTGGGTGACCAGGCACAGGTTGCCCAGAGAAACTGTGGAGTCTCTCTTGTTGGAGATCTTCAAAAGCTATTTGTACATGATCCTGGGTAAGCAGCTCTGGGTAGCCCTGGTTGAATAGATGGCCCTAGTTGGGCAAGAAGATCTCCAGAGGTCCCTTCCAAACTCAGCATTCTGTGATTCTGTGTTATGTGCTTTGGACAGAGAAATTAAAAACGTATAAATGAATGTTAAGCAAGGAATTATGCCTGAAATAATTTAATCATGTTATTATAGTGAAGAGACAGGACAATTGTAATCAGTTGCTAAAAATGTCTTTGAAGAGAAATGGATTTTGTGTGTGTGTGTGGCATATTCACTTTGGCCTTGTATAATGGCAATGGAACCCTGAATAAGCATCAGGAAATTTCTCTAATGTTCACTAAATTGAGAGTGACAGGAACTGACTGATAGCTTGGGGACATTGCTGAATCCTGATCACAGGAGATTTGTCAGAGAAGATCGAATTGTTATCCATGAGGAAAAGCTTCTCACAGATACCCTGTACAGATGCAGGGAGGCAGACATGATGGCATCTTGTTTTGAAGTGTACAGTTTCCATGTCAGAATAGCAGAGAACTACTTCCTTGAGTTTAATTATGTGCAGTACCCCGCCTTGCACTCCAGCCATACCTGGTACTGTCAGTGAAAACCAGTCCAGAACCCAGCAGCAGCTAGAGTTCCTGGCAAAGACATGCTCAGTGATGGTTGCTACACTGGCCAGTTACCTTATTCTCTGATTCAAGAATATTATAGAGCACTAACATAGAATCATATCATAGACTGGCTCAGGTTGTAAGGGACCTTAAAGAAGTAGGGAATTGTGGGGTCACCATAAGTGCAAACAGGAGAAAAAGAAAGACATGCTGGGTCTTCTTCAATGCAGTGGGTGAACCAAGGAAGTGTAGGTTAGTCAGGATGTGCAGTGGTCATGGTTTCTCCTGTGTGACTCTTGCAGTCAGGTCACCAACACTGAATAACACATCTATTGACTGTAAAATGCCACTGTCTGAAATACCTGTATGGGAGGCTTTCGACCGTTAAGGAGATAGGACTAAAGCCATCATACCAGTGAAAGCCTTGCTTTGTGGGTGGGTGTGCACCAGTCCTGTGGCTCACAATCTCCACCTCTTCCCAGTGCTCTTTTCTGCCTGCAGACCAAACCAGCTGGCCCCATGGCAGGAGAGAACCAGACTCAGGTGACAGAGTTCATGCTCCTGGGCTTTTCTCATGGCCAGCCCTTCCTCTTCGTCCTTTTTCTGGTTGTTTACCTGGTCACGCTTCTGGGGAATTTTGCAATACTTGCCCTTGTATCCCTGGATCCCCATCTCCACAACCCTATGTACTTCTTCCTCAGCCATCTGTCCTTCTTGGACATCTGCTACTCATCAGTGACAGTACCCAAGATCTTGTCAAATGTGCTGCGCTCACAGGCAACCATCTCCTACTGCGGGTGTCTGGCACAAATGTTCTTCCTGATGGCGTGCGCAGGAGCCGAGTGTGCACTCCTAGCTGTCATGGCCTATGATCGCTATGCAGCGATATGCCAGCCCCTGCACTATGCCCACACCATGAGCCGGGGTGTCTGCACAGTGGCAGCTGCGGGCTGCTGGCTCTGGGGTATGCTGGATTCAGCTGTGCACACACTTCTGGCTTCTAAGCTGTCCTTCTGCGGGGCTGTCCGTCTCCAGCACATCTTCTGTGATGCTCCCCCGCTACTGAGGGCAGCATGCAGCAACACCCACCCTGTTGAAGTGGCTCTCCATGCTGCTAGTGTTTTTGTGGGCCTCAGCCCCTTCCTGTTTGTCATCATCTCCTACCTCCGCATACTGGCTGCTGTCCTTGGGATGCCTGTGGCTTCTGGCCTGCACAAAGCCTTCTCCACTTGCTCTGCCCACCTGCTTGTGGTCACTCTGTACTTCGTGACAGCCAACCTGAACTACAACCGACCGAGCACTGGCTACTCGCCAGTGGCTGACACAGTGGTCTCTGCCCTCTACTGCATCGTCACCCCCATGCTGAATCCTCTCATCTACAGCCTCCGCAACCAGGAGGTGCAGAGGGCCCTGCAGAAAGCCCTGCGGGGATGGGGTGTGTGGGGCTCCCCAGGCAGCAATGCTGGTGTGGTGTTGGCCCCTCACCAGCTAGCTGTAGGAAATCTGTGATGGCAGCAGTAGGCTTGGGACTGCCTGGGAAAGCAGGGGGTGCTTATGGTATACTGTCATCATGTGTCTGACCCTTGGCATATCACTGATAACAAAAAGGCAAAATCAAGTCGGGATCAAGGCTATAGGATCCAGGTTCCAGGATTATGTACCACATGCTGAGCTCAGAGAAGGACCCACCGCAGCCACATTATCATGGAATCTTAGAATCATAGAATGGCCTGTGTTGGAAGGGACCTCAAGGATCATTTAGTTCCAACTACCCTGCCATACCCAGCGATGCCATCCACTAGATCAGGTTGCTCATGGCCTCCAGCCACCTACACAAGGTCTGCATGATGAGGGAAGCTGTCACAAGCTGTACATGCAGATGCATGCCTGCAGGCATGGCAATGCTTCTGCATCTGTGCCACAGAGGTGCACAGTGGCTGGAAGAGACCAAAACATGATCATCTATACCTTGGTTAACAAACAGACACAGCAAAATTGGGGTGGAGTGTGTGTGGGGGGAGAGATTAACAAACAAAATTTTGAATTAAAAACGACATCTCACCTAAAACATAGTGTGTCTTTCCCATGATTGGCAGACAGAGACTGTGATTTTTTTCCAGTCTCAAACAGTAAGCAGGGATGCTGTACTGCCCTCCAGGAGCTCATGTTTTTTTTTCTTGTCCAGGTGCAGGATGGGCCACAACAAACCTGTGAGCTATACTGGAAGCCAAAGGTGCCATAATGGGGTCCTCCACAACCCTGCTGCTGGCATTTGGCACTGTATTGGGATATGTTTCTGCAGCTTCTCACAGGCTGCAAGGCTCAGCAAGTCCTTGATTTATTCCTGATGTGATGGTACTCACATATCAACAGCCAACTCCTATAGTGGCATGTTGAGCATCTAACCTGGAACACACTGGGTTAGAGGAGGGCTTCAGTTTGCATCAGGTTGTCACCTGAATGCTGCTTTAAATATTAAAAATAAATGTCATGCACATTTCCACTTACCCCGCTTTCAATCCACTCGGCCTTTTCCTCATATCTGCAATAAAGGAGGGCTAGAAAGGAGGACCCTTTTCACTGTGTAAGGAATGGAGCCTACAACAGACACCTGACATGTGGTGGCATGAAAAACAGGACACAAATTTGATCATGTCAGAACAGAAGCAGTTTATTATTAGTGCAGTGCAGCAGAAGGACAGACTCTGCTCACATGAACTTAGTCCAAATGAGGCAGTTACAGAATTTATATACCTTTAGGTTATGCAACTTGTTCTTTTCCAACCTGTGCCAGCGAAGCAGGATAGGGTAAATAGCAACAAAAGATGCCCCTAGCCTGTACATGAATAATTCACTCCCTTGTTAATTAAATCATGCTGGCTGGTGAGATAATTAGCTTCAAATAGTCCTTAACTAGTGAGGCCTGCAAGGACCTATGAGGAATAACTATTTCACTTCCATGGTAGGAAGTGGTGGCCTGACTTCAGCACAGAGAGGCAAACCACCCACCAGTACAGGGAAGCTGAACCAAATACTAGATGGAGGAACTCACCTTTATCACTGACTGTAGAACATGCTAGTCTTTAGGCTAGAGAAAAGCTGTGAGTCTGTTTATCCTGCACATGTGTGCTTATTTATACTGTCAGAACTGTTAATAGGAAAAATGGAACTCAAAAATATACCATTGGCTGTATCCAGCAGCACTTATTCTGATTCATTTTCCAGAAGGAAAGGATCTCCCTAGAAGAACATTCCTCTGCTGGAATGCCTGGATGGCGACCAAAACAGTTAACATATTCCTTATTAAGTGAAGCGTTTTGGTATTTTTCTGTTGCTCCAAGACATATTTACCTAAGTCATTGTTCTCAGAAAATAATCTAAATTTTATATTTCCTTTTTCAAAGTTTACCCCAGAAATAACATAGCTCCCAACAATGTTCTTGGCACACAGGGGAAAAACAAACAAGTAATCTACTACCTTAGCAATATTATGCTTCATATTCATCGACCAACACACACTTGTCTTGTTTAATGGAACAGCTCATTACATCGAAGCTTATGTTTGTTTGCAGACAAACTCAGCAGTGTTCACTGTGAGGATCAGCTGCTCCTAGGTGCCAGCCCTGAATCTGCCCAGATAGCCCCAGCTCACATTTCTATACTCTGCACTGCAAACATACTGTGTCTTGCAAGTGGAAACTTCTCGGGAAAAAAGGCAAGTTCAGCCTTCACTGTGCTGTTTTCCCTTGACAACTGGGTAGGATGAAGTCCAGGGCCATAGCTCAGGGCAGTATCTCTTTTTCTACAGCTGTATTCTGGACTTAGTCCTATGAAGAAAGAAGGCCTGTCAGATAGAGGTGACAAATGGCAATTCAAAAATAAAATGTCCCTTCAGCCCTGACAAGATTAGTTATTTTTTCTTGCTGTGAATCGCCCTGATGAAACAGAAATGGACACACTTCTCCTGCAAGCTTTCCAGTTGACATATGGGACAGTCTAGACAGAAAAGATGTCATATCACATCCACATGTTCTGAAAACTGTCCCATATAGGACTGGATGGGAAACAGAATATAAATATCTGAGTGTGGGTGTCAAGAGGATGAAGCTGGTCTCTTTTCAGTTGTGCCCAGCAATAGGACGGGAGGCAGTGGGCACAGGAGATTCTGGCTGAATATGAGGGAGCACTTCTTTACTGTGAGGGTGACAACACTGGAACAGGTTGCCCAGAGAGGCTGTGCAGTCTCCTTCTCTGGAGATATTCAAAACTCGCCTGGATACCATCCTGCGCAATATGCTCCAGGTGATCCTGCTCTGTGGGGGGTTGGACTAGATGATCTTCAAAGGTCCCTTCCAACCTTGGCCTTATTGTGATTCAGAATCCATCTTGGGCACAGGCCAAACATCTTGTTAGAAACTGCCAGTTTGCTCACTGGTACTTCTTGCACGTAGACATGCCAGGCTGAGCCAAATTAAGCTAACAATATGTAGAAGGCTGAAGCAGACAGAGGCAGAAGTTTGGAATAAGGCAGCTTGGACAATGCTGGTCTCACTGCAGAAGCTTCACATAATTTGCTGGGAAGAGGCCTACTTTTCCCCGGCACTGACCCCGCCACCAGCCTTCATCTACCATCTCGATGTGTGTGATTGTGTCATCAGGATCAAAAGAAATTTCATCATCTCCATCTGCAAGAATTGATCAGAAAACAAAGTCACAGTGTAAAGATAACCCCAGAGTGAACTGTTTTTAAACCCTCCCTTAACTCTGCCCAGGAGAATACAGAACAAGCAGGTTGATAAATCCCGGAGTTCATCTTATCCCATCTATTTCTACAAACAGCACAGATAGAACAGAGAAGGAGCAGGACTTCACAGATGATAGATGAAGTGTCTATGTTCCAAAGTAAGGTCTCATTCTATTTTTCCATGAGGAAGAAATTGAAACAACCAACTCAAAATCCTTTTACTACTGTTGATGGTGTGAACAACCATCTCCCCACCCCACCTTGGCCAAACTCCCAGTGCCTCTCCTGTCAGGATGATTGCCTTTCCCACATCCTGGATGGCACACCTACCTCCTTGGTAATCATAGAGAGCCACAGCACAGGTCCCAGGGCTCTCCACCTCATAAACATTGTCCATTTCCCCTGCAGAAGACAGGATGGGTAAATAAGAAAGAGGCTGAAAGCAACCAAAAAGATCTGTTCAGTGCCACCCTCCACCCATCTGTAAGCCTTGGTGAGAACCATATCCAAACCCCATCAACAGGTAGAGGTGTTTTATGGTTCAAGGCATGGTGCAATTTGCCTCCGCTTCTGGAATGGGAGAGGAGAGGATCATAATGCTTCCTGTTCCTCCTTCCAAAAAAAAACCAAAAACTGATGTAACTCCAGTTTGCCTCCTTTGCCATTTACAGTACCGGTAAATTTGAGATGGAAATATCAACAGTAGCCTATGCAATTTGCTCAGGTGCTTGGAGAAAGTCTACCTTGCTGCCTCCCCCCTTCACACCCAGGAGACCAGATCAGGTCTCATGAGCACCAGCATTTTGAGTGACAAACTGTGAATAAACAGGGATCCCCGTATCCTCAACACAGCACTGGCAATCAATTGCCAAGACACACTGCATCAAGTTAAAGAGCGTCAGTCCAGGTGCAGCTTCTTCAGAGCCCATGGCAGCCATCCTGCCCTCTTGCCTGAATCCTTCTTCAGCAAAGATACCTGCTGCCTGACACAGCATCCCATGCAGCTGATTTTGCATCTAGGAGCAGGGCAAGGGGCTAGGAGACATAAAGTCTCTATCAGCATGGATTGTTAACTTGACCACAGAAGATTTCAGGACACAAAAGCCCTCTGGAGTCTGTCCCATACACCCTCTGACGCAAACAGACAGATACACTCTCCAAGATTCTTCTCTCTGTACTCACCCACACAGGGCTGGCTGGACGCCTCAGGAAGGATCTCCTCATAGTCCTCACCTCCGTCTTCTCCATGGTTGATGATGGTATCTGGCTTTCCCAAGGGTGCTGGCAGTTCCTCATAGTCAGCACTTGCACTGATGCCATCACAGTAGTCAGAGTGCTCTAGCAGCTCCTCATAGTCTCCACTGACATCCAAACTCTCGCTGTAGATGGGTTGATCCTGGCTGGGAAACTTGCACAGCTCTTCAGCCAGATCTGCTGGCCTTGGTGGCAAAGTGGGGGGTGTTTCCTCATCCTCCCCTTTTGCCTCCTGCCAGGAGGTAAGAAAGTGACAAGAAAGTCAACTGGAAAGCATTCACTACAGGCAGCTCTACCATGACTGCACAGCACCCAATGCAAGCGAGCCCACTCCGCTGCATGTGTTTAGTACTACCATGACACAAATAGAACATCATCCACAAAAGGAACTCAGCCACTAGGTCTGGGCTGAACTAGAACCTGGAAGTGCTGAACACACTTTGATGACTCATGTTTTTGAGCCTATCTCACATGCATAGCTACAGTTCACTCTACTGCTGCTGCAGTGACCCCACTCCAAGAGCCTGTTTTGCATGGTAAAAGGTGCTGTGCAGCCATATCCCATCACTATCCCAATATTTCCCCCTTACTCTTTGCAAAGCCTCTTCCATGATGTGGCTGCACCCTTCTTCTTTGTGCATGTCTACCTGTGAATCACAGTCCCCTCATAGGCTCGATCCCCTCTGCTCCCCTTTCTGGTTCCCCCCAGCCTGCCTCAGCACCTGCTCTCCTTGTGACACAGGCCTGTCTTGGACAGCTCTCTCAGGGACCCTTGCTGTCACAGTGGCAGGAACTGTCTCTCTGTGGTCCTTCTCTCTCTGTGGGATTTCCTGCTGGAGAAAAGTCATCACAGCTCCTCAGTCTCTTTCAAACAGGTCCATTCCCAACCAAGCAACTCTCAAGACAATTTTTCTCACACTGAAATCTGTTCCAGCTGCCATAAACCTGCTGTACAGACTGGACACCAGCAGGCCTGTAACTACTACTGGGTCTGCAGGAAGCAGACTCAAGGAGGAAATACATTAGAGAGTGTTTTATTGAAGAAACCTTATCTGCACATCAAACATAGCAACAGCGCAATGCAGAAGGAGGTCTTTTAAATATGAAGGTTTGGGTACAATCTCCAGTTTGGAAAACCTTGAGTACATACTGCTGGGATGGCAGTACCAAGAAGGTGCATATTGCATTGTGCTTGCCTGGCACTAGAGGCAAGGAGACTAGACCAAACTGCAGGGTGACATGGTTGGGTGCTCACACATCCTGATCTGTGTGCTGAACCAGGAAAAACTGAATAGCATGGCATTCAATGGCAGTCTCTGGCAGTTACAGGGAAGCTGTTTAGGCAAGAGGTCACTGTAACAAGATTTGGTAGAAGCAGATGGACCTATGTGGTCCTGAGGAAAAGCCTGTTTCACAAGCATTGGGGGACATGGGAAGATGGTCATTTCTCACCTTCTGCCGAGCTGCCTGGCACTCCCGAGCTTGACGCCTCACCCGGTCTTCTTCTGCCTGCCTTTTGCTCTCCTCGTCTGCCAATTTAGCCAGGTTTTCAAATCTTGACCGCAGGCTGCTGGTGCTGCTGGAAGCTGCTGTGGAGATGACAGCTGCTCAAGCCTTCCCAATGGCTTGTTAGACATTGGAACAGGCTGCTCAGGGAAGTGGTGGAGTCACCATCCCTGGAAGTCTTTAAAAGACGTTTAGATGTAGAGCTTAGGGATATGGTTTAGTGGGGACTGTTAGCGTTAGGTCAGAGGTTGGACTCGATGATCTTGAGGTCTCTTCCAACCTAGAAATTCTGTGATTCTGTGATTCTGTGATTCCTTTCCACCACCCCAAGCACCCAGGGGACACCTGGACCTCTGCCTCTGCCAGAGAAACTTGCAATACAGTCACCTTCTTCGGTTTTTCAACACAGGCTAAATCCACAGCCCACCACAGCCCCTGCCTGCCAGTGTGCTGCCACAAAGGGACCATGAGATTCACAGCTTCCCACCAAGCCCAGGACTGGTACACAATTATCTCACCTGCCTCCACTGGTCTTGTTTTCTCATATGAGGAAGTTGGACTTGCCATCTCGTTAAAGCCAGCAGCACTCTGCAAAAGGAAGTGTCCAGCTTGTTAGGCAAGGCCAGTACTGAGATTCCACCAGATGGGTTTGGCTGTTGGTGACCACAAACAAGTCACAGCTTTGTTCCCAGCTATGTCTGCCTTCACCAGTAAAACTGCCACAGCTCTGTGGGAAGGGAGGCTGCTGACTGCAGTCCTGCCCTCCAGTGCCTCCCTGCACTGCCAGAAGTATCTGCTGATCTCCAGGCAAAGGCAAGGGCTGTTCCTATAGAGAGGCAATGCTCCAAAAACTTCTAAAGGCTATGTGGAGCCAAGCCAAGGAGGTTTAACAGTGGCAAGAGGACTCCTGTATGGGACAGGAAGGCTGGGCACTCAAGGCATGAACACTCACATATAATGCTGCAAACAACTGGGGTGATGCCTGACAGTCCACCTCTTCCTGAGGTCTGGTAAGTGGTGAACCAGTCCCCTGCACCCCCAGAGGTATGTGGCATGGAAGCACTTCCCTGTTGAATGCACAACCGCAGCTGCACAACCATGAAAATGGCACTGCCCTTCAGCAGGTCATTGCCTGCAGTATATGTACGCAACAGCTGGGGCTGGAAAACTTTAAGGAAAAAATGTGTGTGTGACTATCTGAGATCCTGATGGCTTTATGAGGTGTGAAGAGATGGCTAAACTGTTAATTAGATGTACAGTACAGTTTAATTCTCTTAGAGAGTTCTTCACTGGTTCTACTCATAGTCACATCACTAAATACTGCCATAAGAGAAAGCAGGTGTGTGACTGGTCAGTCTGAGAGTGGAATGATTCAAAAGCAACTGAGAATGGAAAATATTCTTCCCTTCCTCCCTGTCTCCCCAGGCTGCATCCCTCTGTGCCCTCTGGCATTTACAGTTCCCTCATGCGTCCAATGGTTGTGCAGTGACCAGTGGGACCTCATCTCCATCTGGGAATTCTAAACTCCTGCAGCAGTGCAAAGAGCACTGACTAGCAGGAGGCAATAGTAAACTCCTGCATGCAGAGACTTACCTTATCTACCCTGTCCTTCTGGACCCCGTAGCGGCCTCCAAATCCTTTGGCATAGTCTGTATGGAAAAAAATGAGGCTAATTTATATTTTATATTTTATAGGCTCCTCTGACTTCAGCATGCTGTGACTAGTGAAACAAGTTAGTTTTGTCTTAAATTGAATGGCACAATGTCTGGTAGCTAGCTACCTGCATCTCATCACACAAGGAACTATGTAAATGAGGCAAAATGCTCTACATGGAAGATTTTAAGACTAATTTTTTCATTCCTTTCAGTGAAGTGCACAGCTGTTCACTACTGTATGATGGCAAATCTCCTTCCAAGTCACTGGGTCACTTCCAAGTGACTGGGCCAGTCATGCCATTTGAGTGCAGTGTGGCCTTGTTCACTGAAGTTAGACATACAGTGCTAGAAGCATTCAAGCCATTTCCTTCCCATGTGCTCATTTTTTTTTCATGAGCTTATAATCAGGACTGTACCTGACAAGAGAAAGCATAGCACAGTTGGAGAAGCCTGATTCAGGCACTTGTATTCACATCTGTCACTGATCCAACCAAACAAGCTGCACTCTAAACCCTACTCTGGCAGAGTTTATCCTTGTGCTTTGGGAGTTCACAGTGTCTCAGCTGCTCCACCTGCCTGCAATTCCACAATATGCTATACACATTCAGTTTATATCAGCTGGATCTCTGTCAAGTACGAACAGGTAGCTCTACACCTACATGTGCTTCAAGGAAATTATGCTGCCACCTCTGGCAGCATTGGTATACCTGTTTGGGATGCATGGGGTTGTACTTCCTCCTGATGGTCCCAGCCAAGAGCACTCTTGTCCTGTCGATCCCTCTGGACCCCAAACTTCCCACCAAAGCCCGCAGAATAGTCTTCAGTCATGGGGATCCAGACCATGGAATGGAGGCGAACAGAGAATGGAGGGAAAGAGAGTAGTGGTAGAACTGTGAGCACAGGCTGTTCTCACAGAAGCAAGTAGTTTTTCCTGCCCAGGACTTGGAGAGAGATGACGACAGACAGGGAGCAAGGCCAGAGCTCTCCACTGGTGTATACATCAATAACCCTCCCTCCTCCTGGAGACACAACACCTGCAATCAGCATCTCAGCATAATCAGCATCGGACACGCAACAGTTCCCTTAGCATTCCACCACACATACAGCAGGTTGCAAGCACCAAGTACAGAACTACATGGCCCCAACAGGGATAGTCCCAAGCCCCAGTCCTGACACGGCTGCTGCAACTGGCTTCCCAAGCTCACCTTTCTGAGAGTCATGCTTCTCCACCTGGCTCTTGTAGTCGAACCCCACTGCTGCTTTGTCCACCTTGTCCTTCTCCACACCATAACGGCCACCAAAACCCTTGGAGTAATCTGGGGGGGGGGCGGAAATGACTGAGATTCTACCTCAGGTATGGGACTGGTGAAGGAAAGACTGAAGATGGGGAGGAGCATCAGGGAGAAGGACAAGTAGCAAAGATGGTGGACAACACTAGAAACAGCAGGCACTCAGAGAGAATAGAGTGGAGGACAGGGAGTACCGAGGGCCATTGAGGATGAGGGTCCTTAAGAATGGGTGTATGAGAGAAGACTGGGTCATACCAGCAAGAGCCCAAGAGCAATGGGCAGCAGGAGACATGTCATGCACAGAGGGCAAAGAAGGAAGGTAACATGCCAAATGCAGATGGGGAAGCAGTAGGAGCTCCAGCCATCAGAAGATGCAAAGCCAAGACATGACTTAGGGGCCCTGAGTGCCTGGGTATCCACTCACTCACGCATCTGCACAGCAAGCATCTCAACTTGTGGTCTGCCTGAACAGGTCTTTGAGTAAGCCTTTGAAATCACAGAAGAAATGGCAAACTTTTGTTGTATGGCTTATATTTGCCATAGTGTAGTCTCAACATCTACAAGGAAACCGCTGAGTCTGGATGCTGCAGCAAAGGCCGAAAGCCACATTTCTGGAGACATGCTACAGATCCTCTCAGTCTGTCTCTGTCTCTTCTAGAGAAGCCTAGCAAATTCAGCCTTATCAATCCATGAAGATTTTGCCCTAGAGAAACATGCATGAAAACATTTTGGATTCATGAATGGCTCTCAGAATAATATTCACTCAATTTCATAGAAGCTCAGTCACTTAAGGTTGAATAAGACCATAAAGTAATTATTAAAATCTGTAATTCTGAGAAATTTCTTAAATTTCTCTCACTTCAACTATTATTTACTGATTAGACCATCATAAAACACACCTTTTAGGAAGTTGTCTTCAGCAAATATAGATTTTAAGACTGTTACCTTGATGCTAGAGTTTTCAACACTGAAACATTTTTATGAAAAATAAAGCAAATACGCAGCTGTTCAGTGTAACTTCTCCTTGCCTTGCTTCAAACATTTTCATTTTGTCCTGAGTGATTTCTGTGGTTTTATACTGCCTGACGTTTTATGCCTACAATTTACTACGAGGCCTCTTATACAAGAATGTGTTAATATAACACAATTTTGCTTGAGTTATTACTTTAAGATCAGCTAAGAATGCCTCAAATCTTTTTCATTCTTTTATAATTTCCTCTGAAAAATAATTACAACAGTCTTCTTTTCTTGGTAATGCAGCATTCTCCACATTTATGTGAAACAGTAACAGGCCTTGTCCTCTCTTCTTCTCTTGTCTGCAGAATATTTAACCTTTCATTTCAGATCTTGCAACATTCTTTCAGAATATAGCTGCTTTTATGTATATGTCAAAGTTTGATTGAATGATCTCCAGAACTCTGCAAGAGTTTGAGTGCTGTAAAAGCTTTTGTTTCCTTATCTATTGTTGTGCCTTTTCTTATATACCATTTTTTCAGAAATCACTTCTTATATCCTACAGTGATTGGGTACTCGCTGTAGCAGTTTCTCAGAAGGACTTTTAAAGGAATGGGATAATCAGCCATTTGTCACCAGGTGTGTGTAGGGGTGTCCTCTCTGCTCAGTCAGGACACAGCAAAGCATAACAGAGAGGCAAGAGGGATATACAGCAGAAAGGTGGTTACAAGGACAGCAGGCAATGGAGCCACAGTGCTGAATGACTGAGAATAGGAATCTGCAGACAGGAGGATAATAAAGGAGGTTGTTCCACAGCAGACAGCACAGGATATCAGGAGAAGAGAAAATGGGTGAAGCATTAAGGGACCAAACATGTCCATGGACTTGCCTTTCTGGGACTGAGTGTTTCTCCACCTCACCCTTGTATTCAAAACCCAGTGCTGACTGGAACAAGAAGAGGGAGGAATGTCAGTCATCCTGGGGGCCAAGCCAGATTTCATCCACCCTCATCCAGCGCCCTGGGGCCTGCCTGGGACCCTGCTCCCAGTCCTGTGCTCAACATGCAGATACATGGCCACTCCTCGTCTGGCAAAGACCTCCTCAGACTTGCATTCCCATTGTCCCTGTGGCAGAATGCCCAGGAATGCAACTCAGGTAAAAGGGCCATAATCCTGACCCCACACCCTGTTAACTGGCAAAGCCTCTGGGCAGTGTCTGCAGGATATGCACACGATGGAAGGCATCCTGCTGTCACTGGCCAGTCCTGCTGTGGCTAATCACTGCCCATGGCAAAGCTTGTGGGTTTGGAGATGAGAAACACCCCCAGCTCCCAAGAGCAGCAATGTCCATGACACAAACATAGTGCTGCCTGGATAGGACACTGCAGGCATATTAATACACACCAGAGAGCCAATCTGCATAAGTACGCTGCAAGTTATCAGCTATTGTCCTGCACACAAGAGGTGAGCTATGTTACAGTGGAGACCATGGTGCACAGCATACCTAGACCTACTCCCATCAGCACATTGAAAACTGCAGCAACAATTCTAAATGTAGTAATCCAAATTTTAGCAGCAGCACTCAGCGTAGGCTGCAAAAACAGACTTCAGTTGCTCCATTCAGCACACCTTATCAATCCGGTCCCGCTGGATTCCAAACTTCCCACCAAAGCCCTGTGCTGCATCTGTCTGTGAGGAATGCTTCCCGACATCAGCGACATACTCATGGCCCATGGCACACTAAGGAGAGAGAAAAGCATGGCATGAGCTCCTTGACACTCAGTCCAGTGGGCTAACAGAGACATGGGCACCAAGTTGTTATGCCCTGCTGACAAAACGCTTGCGGCCATAAGGAGACAGGTCCAAACTGACCACAAGGCAGGAAGGTCCGGGTACGACTGCTCCCTTTTGGCCTGCTGGAAACTCCGCTTCTCACCCTGTCATGCTGGTACCATGCAAATCTACATTGACCCCACAGACTGAATACTATTGCAGTCTTATCATTTCACTTCAGACAAAAAGGTATTAAAAGCTGAAAGCTACAGAGAGAATTATGATGATGATTAGCAGAAAACATAAAACATTTGATATGAGAACAAAGATAACAAAGACTATGGACCAGGGCTTCATCTGGGGGAGGTATGAGAGAGGTCTGTAACAGAGAATGTGAGTGGGGGATTATTATTCATTATTTCTCCAAGCACAAGTAGGAAAGCACCTAATTGTTATGCATCAGTTTTGAAACAAGCAGTATAAAGTCCTTCTTCACAGAGTAGTTAACTAAGGGGAATGTTGCAAGGAAGCTGTAGAGACAAATTATACAAATAGGTTCAAACACATTGTGGAGACAGACTATGGGCTAGATGGACATGTGTGAATCATGCCAGCTTTCCATTCCTTCCCTTCAGGGTCAGGCCAGAAGACAGGGATGCTGTCTCCTTGATGCAAAAAAGCCTCTTCCAATAAGCCCAGGGAAGTCCTCTACAACTGTTACCTTATCCATTCGGTCCTGCTCTGTTCCAAATTTGCCCCCATAGCCATAGGAGGCCTTGGGGCCAGTCTCCAGCTCCTTCTTCTTGATGACTTCATGTTCCTCTGACACCTTGCTCCTCAGCTGGTGGATGCTGGCAAGACAGTGTCAAGGCAAGTCACTGTGGGATTCTGCAGACCTGTGCATTCAGCTGGAGCAGCCCTGTGCCACTATGCCACACAGAGCCCCATGCACATAAGCTCACTGTCAACAGCCACCATGTGCCCTCAGTGGGCCCCTCTGTGTGGCAGTCACACCTGCAGCCACTGCCCAGTAGCCGGGAGGTGATGTTACCGTGGGGCCTGGCAAAGGACCCAGAGAAGCAGGATCAGTAGATGCACCCAGTCCCTAACCTGCAGTCCCATTCAGGACTTTCACAGGAACCCAAGCTGTCCTGTGTTCTGCAGTACTTCACAATGCACAAGGGATTACCAAATGTCCCAAGGGAGCTGCTACATAGGGGTGGCTTTGGAGATAGAAGGAGCAGGATGTCTTTAGGATCTTAGGAAGAACTTCTTTACCGTAAAGGGTTGTTAGACATTGGAACAGGCTGCCCAGGGAGGTGGTGGAGTCACCATCCCTGGAAGTCTTCAAAAGACGTTTAGATGTAGAGCTTAGGGATATGGTTTAGTGGGGACTGTTAGTGTTAGGTCAGAGGTTGGACTCGATGATCTTGAGGTCTCTTCCAACCTAGAAATTCTGTGATTCTGTGATTTTACCACAGCAGAACAGCCTCGGTCTGAAGGTATTTCACAGTTAACCCCCGATGGCATCACCTGCAGGCTGTGAATTTTGCTTCTGGTGCAACACAAGCACCTCAAAACAAGAGCCTGGCTGCAGCCGGCCGAGCCTGGACGGGCAGGCGGCAGTGCAGGGCGGCCCGGTGCGAGTGGCAGCGCAGCTCCACGGCAGCCGGCAGGCCGCTCAGGCCGCTGCGAAACCTCTCTCGGCCCCCTTGTACCCATCGGCCTGGCAGACAGCCCGGGGCGGGCAGCGGGGGAGGCCCTGGGTTCCGCTCCGCCCGCCGCGGCCCCGCTGTGTACAAGCCCTTATTTGGCTGCTTTCGGCCCGCGCGCGAGGCCGCGGCGGCCGCTTCCCCTCCCCGGCCGTGGCCGCGCTGACAGCCCGCCGCAGGCTCCCCGACCCGCCCGGCCGCGCTTACTCGATGTGCTCGGCGCGTCCAGAGCCCGCGATGGTCTTGGCCCCCCAGCGCTGCTCCTTCTCAGAGATGTCGTTCTGCAAAGCGAACCGCAGCCGTCAGCTCCAACCCCCGGCTCCCCGCGCGCCGCCTGCTGTCCTCCCGGAGGGCCGCGCTCGCTGCAGCCTCGCCGGGCCGGGCCTGGCTTCGCCCGAGACCGGACGACCGGGGCTGGAGCGAGCAAAGGGGGCCCGGAAGGCTCCCGGGCACGGACAGAACGGGGCAGCGGGCGAGGCATAGCGCGGGCGGGCGAAGGTCGTCTGCTGCCCTGCCGGCCGGCCTGGGACACCGGGAGATTCCTTCCCTCCTCTGAGGGAAGACCTAGCAAATAAAGCATTTGCTGTGGAAATCAAATGATTAAGAAAATATTAGAAAAACGCCAAAATTGACATTTTACTCAAGGTCGGCTGTTCTGCTTCAATTCTTGTATGACAGCACTTGTTCTGCCTTTTTGTAGGTCAAACTGCATTTGATCAATTGAAGGCATGAATAAGCTCTTTCCTAATGTAAAGCTAAAAGAAGTATATACAAAATAGAATACAGGGTCTCATTCTGTTTGGGCTTATTTTAAGTATATTCACAAATGGATGAATTAAGTAAAACAAAATAATTTTGATGTCACAGATTTTATTTTTTTTTTTAACATTAGTAATTTGAGGCATGTGAGAAGGGGACTTTCTCTTTCATTCCAAGCTAGAATTTCTTATTGGAAATTACTAGGCAAGACTGAATCTTCAACACAGAGGGCACTAGTTGTGTCACTGGAGACTGTCCAGCAAAAAACTCTTGGAAAGGAAAATTTCACATAGCTCAGAGAGACTTGTGATAGTAAGGCATGGCTGGCACTCAGTACCACAAGGAGCAGAACTTTTCATGTTCCCAAAAGGTTTAGAAAAAGATTATGAAGAATTGATGTTTTTGTCTTGAGTCATGAGAAGATAGTTTACATTGACCAAATACAGGAGACAACGCAGTGCAGAAAAATCTTGTGATGCCATATCAACAGGTGATAAAATTGTAAATGAAAGCTAGTGTTAATAAGTACTAAAAGCATATGGAAAAAAACAATCCTGTATCTGAACAATGATGGTTCCAAAATATTCATTCAGGAATGAGTATGAAATAGGGAATTGCATGCAGTTATGTAGCAGAGTAGCAAATAAGGAATTGGCCAAAAGGCCAAAGTGTGAGTAACTTATTGGGAAAGAAATAGAGAATTAAAAAGAAAGTAAGTGTCATAACATTTTCTGAATCCATAGGGTTCTCACAGGCTGAGCACTTCTACGCTCTCACCATCTCACCTAGAGAATTACAAAAAATACAAGGAGAGAACAGAGCTATTTAGAAGCATGGAGCTGCACTTGTACTGGGTGACAATAAATACTGGGATTTTTCTATTAGGAGAAAAGACAGAGAAGGACAATGTTGGAATCCTGTGCCAAGCCCTCAAGCACAGCTGACAAGCATGCATCCAGACACAGCGGGACTCAGTGACATGACTTTCTACACCACACACTCACCACAAAATCGGGGTCAGTGTCCCAGTCGTCTCCCTGAGCGTCAACCTTCACCGACACATCGTGTCCCACGACTGCTTTCCACATCTGCACAGGGAATACATTTTGTCACCTGGGGCCTGGCATGCAGGCCCTGCTGGCTCGCTGCCATGGACCTGTCATATCACATGGACGTTTGGAGGCTACCTGCCTCATTGAGCTCGTGCCTCATACAGCACAGGGCACCCCAAAATAGTTTCTCTTGAGCTCCAGCACCTCTTTCAGCAAAACACACCGTGAATCTAAGAGTAAACCACAGCCTTCTAGCCCACCATCTTCACAGTTAAACTGTACACTTTATTTTAATGCATGAATGCACGTTAGCACTAGCATCCAACTATCAGATTCTTTTTTTTTTTTTTTCCCTAAAATTGATTTTCTGTGCTCTGTGAGGTTCTTCCATGCATTAACTTCCCTTTTGCTAAGCACAGTCACAGCATCCCGGTAGAGGCTATGGCTTCCTCTGCTACCACGATACAAAACATTTAATTGAGATTGAACTCCTGAAGTCTCCTGTTTTTCAAACTTTTAATCACTGCTTAGTGTGCTAAAGACAGTTCAGAGAAAAGTTGCATGTTGGTCTTACAATGCTGGTAGAGTGTGGTGTTTATGTCAGCTATAGAGTAAAAGCAGGAAATGAGGGCTAAAAGCATTAAGCGTGCATGGTGGGAAAGGCTGAAACTACAGCAGTACAGCTCTTACAAGCTGTCTGAAGAGGCCTGGAGGAAGTGATATACCCGGGAAGAGGAAGTTAAAAAAACTAATGTGAAAGCTAAAACTCCTGAATTTCATTTTCAAGGTGACTGAAAAAAAAAAAAGATGATGAAAAAGCCCCTCCCAAAAAACACAGTGTCTGCAAAATAAGAAACAGAAGAAAGATTACATGGCTTGCTGGTCCGTATACAACAGCTCATTTTCATCAGAGCTCTCACTTCTCACATCCTATATTTCTGCCTGTGGTGTTGAGGAGCCCTGAACTGTTCTTATGGTAGCCCAAAGAAGCTTTTCATTAGGGTAGAGAGAAAGACTGAACAGGATGTGCACCATTGTGCCTGTGAGCCCTGTTTCACACCACTGCAAACATCCCATAAAATAGTGAACAAACCAACAGGAGGGAAGAGAACTGTGAGGACAGAAAATAAACTAGTACACAAGCTGACCCCATGTGCCCAAGACTGTTGCTTTCTGTGCAAGCAAAATGTTTATCGTGAACTGGGAATGTATAGTCACAACAGCTGAATGAATAACCTTCCAGCCCAGCTCATTGCCCTGAGTTAAATTGTCCGGACAGCACTGAGAGATCAGGGAGCAGACAACAGGAAATGAAAGAGCAGAGCAGGGACGAATCTTTCATTTGGTTAAAAAAAGCCAGTCAGGCTAAGCTAAGGCAGAGTATTTAGGACTTAGGTAGGTACTGTGAAGATCTGACTTTAGGCCTTCCCCAGGTTGCACCTGGAGTTTAAAAAAAAAAAAAAAAAAAAAGTGTAATACTCCAGAAAACAGAAAACAGGAGGCCTGGAGACATACTCTGTGCTTCTGTGCTCTGACAACAATCCTATGACAGAACATAGCTACTAGCAAACAGGTGAAAAAGGAAGGTTGATGTGGCCAACATAGCACAATCTAACAATATATTTCATCTCCTTTTCCTCTGCCTAATTTATTAGCATCTCTCACTCCAAAGACTTTTAAAGTTTGTGGCTCATTTTTGTTTGTGTTAGAACAGCAGCAATAACAAATTAGCACAGGGCTGTTCAACTCAGGGCAGCTAATATGATCAGCCAACTCTAATGCAAGTGGTTTAGGGTTTTAAATCCTGCTGTAAAAGGTTCTTGACCACTTACTCTCCAAAGCCACCCACCAGGCATCTTGGGAACCATAACAAACCACAGTCTGTAATCACACCACAGGACTCCAGGCAACCTCTAAGAGACATACTACCAAGAGCAGAACATCAGTCTGCTAGTTTGTTCCATTCTTCCCCCAGAAGCATCCACTACAGCACAAATACAGGGCTACCGCTTAGCACAGTTGTACCGGATTTGGAAACTTGTTTCTTTAAAGCCTCAAACACAAAAGCAACAATGATGACAATGAATCTATGATTCTAGGACCAAGGAGCAGAGACGTAAATACTGAGCATAATCAGCTCACACTTGCTGGGTCAGAAATCTGTTCTCTCTGCCCACTGAAGTACTACTTTTGTTGTTGATCACTTTCCACTCCCAAAAGCCAGTCTTACCTTAAAAGGCCCACTAGCTCCTGCTGGCAAACGTGCTTCTTTTTGTCCCAGCACCTGATGCTATTAACAGCTTCTAGACTTCCGTGCGTTCTGGGTTCCTGTTTTAACTTCAGCTAACTTCACTTCCTGTGTCCCAGCCCCCAACTTTGCTCAAGTAATGAGCACCAAAACCTGCTCTAGGGTGCTGCAGTTCCCTCACACACTGCCTGTGCTCTGGAAGGCTGACGAGGAGTATACACAGGATACAAATTGCTCCATCCATGTGTAGGGCTTAAGGACGCAGATCAAGCCTTCTTGTGCTGGGGGCCCCAAAGCTGTACACAGTACTCCAGGTGGGACCTCACAAGGGCAGAGTAGAAGGGGACAATCACCTCCCTCAACCTACTGGACACTCTTCTTTTAATGCAGCCCAGGATGCAGTTGGCCTTCTGGGCTGCAAGTGCTCATGTCAAGCTTTTCGTCCACCAGAACCCCCAAGTCCTTCTCCACAGGGCTGCTCACAATGAGTTCTTCTCCCAGTCTGTACTCATGTCTCTGATTGCCCTGGCCCAAGTGCAGCATCTTGCACTTAGACTTGTTGAACCTCATTAGGTATGTGCATATATATGTATGCATACACATAAATGAAAGCTCTTCCAGGTCAAAAAATGTAAATACTCTTAAATAGGAATATGGAAAGGATGTAGTTAAAGAATCCTAAGCACTGAAAGACCAAACTCTTCAGTATGTTGCTCAGTGGTGGGAAGTGCACAATTTTGGAATGACTAACACAAATTACACTGGTTCAACACCAAACTTCTCAAACCAAAACTACCTCCTTTCCAAAGTGTCAAGTGATGCAAGTGCTTGCACAGTCATTTCTACTTGACACAATTACAAGATACTTGGGGCTTTTTGCTTAATCAAAAGAGTGGTCGGGACACATGCATCCACAATGGGAAGAAACAAAAGGCTGAAACATTCAAAACAGGAATCATCAGGTAAAATTCTCTCTTTCATTAGGTCAAATCACAAATCTATTAGGTCTGTCTATGATTATCAGATTAGGAGATTCTTCTGAGGTTTTATTTTATTTATTTAAGCTCTAACTGTTACGTCTGAAGGTGTAAGATATTTAAGGTCCCCGAACCAGCAAAAGGTTTTTTTATTTCAGTTTACAAGAAAAGCAGGTCCTGAATTTGAGTCATGTGCATCATGGACTTTAAGGAAACATATTTCACTTGTAATTCTTGCTCCTATTAAATGCACCAGAACCATCATATACACATACATATCATATACAGTCTTACAATACCCTATTTACCCTATTACTAACTTTTGTTCTAATGGTAGTTAGATTATAGTAGTGAATATTAACAACTGTACCTGTATTTGGCTACAAAGCTGAAAAAGAACAGTATGTTCTAACTAGTCCCACTTAAGTTAGTGGCATATTTCCATCTTGCTGATGCTAATGCCCCTGACTTTCTTGGGGGTTGTACATCTCTTAACAGGGTGCAGAGCTCAGTTAAATCTACGTAAGCATAAACAGAAGTAAGCCCAAGCAGATCTTCAGATTTATTGGAATTGCTTTCAAAACTAAATGCCTCTTTCCTTCTTTGGTCATTACAGATAAAGTGGAAAAAGGCTGGTAAGTGAGATAGCAGAAAAGGTCATCTCCATGGATGTTCAAATAATATGAAGAAACATATGTTCTGTAAATAACACACAAGCAAGCGCACAAAAAAAGTGACATACAGTTCCATGGTGGTCCTGTAAAAGGCATTCTATAGCAGCACTACACCCTCAGGAGACCTCTGACATTTACATGACAACGTTACACAACTTCCATCTGAAAAATAATCTTTATTATATACAGGAGCACATGCCCTGGGAAGCTATAGGCAAAGTATTTGGTCACGGAATTTTATGTAATTGAGGAAATTCACACAAATCATCAAGGATAGTGCAAAAATGGCTATTTTGTGCCAGTGTTCTGCCAGAGATCTAATTATTTTAGCTACAATGATGAATTCAATCCATCCTCAAACAGGGTTTATTCAGTGACTAGAGACTCTTAGGTTACCAGCAATATCAAAAGAACTCTCTATTTCCCATGTGAAAAAATGCAAACATGAATAGTCCAGCAAAAGGCAGATACAATCCTTCTGGCAAGTACTCTGAACAGAGCGATGGCTTAGTCTTTGAAAAGAAACTGAACTAGCACTATCTTTGCATTCAAAATTCTCCCTTTGGAAGAGGGCACTGTCTCAACTCCAGGACATTTTCAGGAGTTCTTTAGAAAAGCACAGCTTTTCGTGTATCCTATTTAATCAAGTCCATTTACATCAGTTTGCTTTAGTCAAACAAGTCCAATGATCACAATTAGCATTCTACACGCTTTTCTTAAAGCAACGATGCCAAAGACCTCAGAACTCTTCCATTCCCCAGCACATAGGGGAACAGTTATAGTTAAGTTCTTCTGCATTTGATTTGGACCCACATACCACATTATGTAACCCTTCAACACAGCCTCTACAGGTTTAATCTCGTGACAAGGGTACAATGGAGCAGAATGCAAGAGTACGGCTGCTCTCTTTTCAAGAAGTATGCAAGCACTTTCTCTCTTCAGGAAGACGTACACTAATGCTATAAGCAGCAAGGTTATTAACTTGGAGCTAAACAGTTTCTTCCTCCTATTCCTTTTCAATAATTACATCTCTGACATTATTTTACAAGCCTGTCAGAGCAGACATAGAACTGTTTTTAAACTGAGTGCTCAGTAGGTCCAAACATACTAATTTTGTCCCTATTTCAATAGGCAATACAACTGAGCAGGAAGCATGATTTTGAAATTCATATTCCTTAAAGTGTCCACCACCTCCTTAGGATATGCATTTCAAATAGCTGCATATTCAGACAGCAAGCAACTTGTGTTCAGGTTGCTGGGTGGTGCTGCCCCTTAATGGCTGATTTGGAAAGGGAAGGCTTCTGGGAGGTGTGCTGGTTACAGCTAGCTGGTGGATAGGGAGTACAGGCTCAGGGATTACACAGAGGACCGTGGCTCAAGAAAAGCCTGTTGTTCTGTTCATAGGTGGCCTGTAAAGCACAGGAAGAGCAGGGCATGGAGAGCAAGCAGATACATGGCCACTAGCAGAGGCAAGTGGGTCCGGGAACGGAAAAGGGAGCGTAACAAGCGTCGTAGTCCAACAATATTCCGAGTCTGGAAGAGAAAAAGAGAGACCAATCAGTATTAGGAATGGCTAAATCCCTAGCTACTTTCACCAAAAGTTCTCCATACCACAAAGATAAGATTGTTTAATCTAAATAAGCACAAATTTTCCCAAACCCATTCCAATGTCAGATTCGACCTCTAGAGCCAGTCCTCAGTGAAATACTCCCCTTTCCCATTTTCAGGTTTACCCAGAAAACCTGCTCTCTTCAGATTTCTCATGACCTTTCTCTCTCTAATTTCAAACAAGAAAGGACAACAGAATGCAGAATGTTTCCCCCTAACATTTTCTCTCTACAAATTTCTAGCCCTTCCCCATGAAATAGAAACAAATTGATCAATGGTACTTCTCTGCTAGAGACTCAAACTATTAGGAATTCTGATTCACTCATCCTCTGGGCTAAAATAAGAGAATGGTTATTTATTTGATGAGATCTTTCATCCTTGCAGCTGCCTTTGCATCCTGTTGAATGCGCTGCCCTACGGCGATCTTATACTACAGAGGCCTTCAAGGAATCCTCAGACAATGTAACATCTGCTGGCAAATTTCCATAACAAAGAGAAAACTGTCTATTCTAGTGACAAACCTCCAGCATTAGTAAAGGGTTCCATCCAGTTGTGGCTCTTGCCCTACTTCCAGCGATGCTGCTCTTGGGAGCACCAACCCCAAATGCTGAAGAGATAAGAGGCCAAGCTCTTCAGCAGGGCTTATTCCTTAGCAAAACTGAACAAGTGGCTGTCAGACTCTTATTCAGTACAGTGAAAAAGCATCTCTCCACTTTGGATCCCAGCCTGACACAGGCTGAAAGATAGTGACTGAGGGAAAACTGAGATGGTTGCTAAAGAAAAGGTCAGGCTCTCCAGACATTGCAGATGCTGGGCCAGTAACATGTATACTTTGTATGTAAGATGTTTGCACAGACTTTGCCTGTTGCTCACCACTGGGGCCTTGACTATGCCACAAAGAACCTGGGACCAGATTCTGGGCACAAGCAATGCTGTTCTACATTTCAGTGGCTTCTGAAATTTACTCTGTTTCTGCAGATTGTAGCAGAGAAACAATTAGTATGAGGCTTTTGGCATGGAAAGCAGAGCAAACCAAGAGCAGAAACCTACCAGACCTTTACAGACCTAAAAATGCCTACAGAAGGATTTAGCTGCTATTGATTCACAGTTTTCAGTTCACCTTTTCTTACATCAGCCAAGGCTCACATTATTGACAGCTGTGAATGAAAATTCTTACTTTGCTGAAACTATTATCCATGGAGTCAATCAGCAAGGAATGCTCATGACCTGGAGTCATATCAATGCTACCACTTAAGGAAGATGTCCACTCACTTGACTGCAACCTGCCACAAAAACAAACAAACAAATGTTAAATCAATGAGTACAAGGACTGGGTGATCCAAGTAGCAGCAATCCTCTTTTATTTCATTAAATATGGTTTCAAAATTAAATTATTGCCAGATTTTCTGTAGGCTAGTGAAAATGTAACAGAGTTGGTATATTGTATTATTGTACCCATAATTGTTACACTTGCTCAGTGTAGCCTCTTTCTGTGTCCAAAGTCAGAGAAAAATGGAAAATTTCCATATTGCATGATGCACAGATTACCATTCCTCACCAGTAGAGGGAAGTTCAGTTGTTGGCAGTGAAGTCCTTTCTCTCCTAATTTATGTCCTATAAATTCCGAACTCTTGATTTCTTTTTAGTGCTGCTTTTTCTCTTCGGGAATTTCAATCTCTAACTTAACTGAGGTGTCTGTGTTCTGCATGGGGGCTTTCAAGTGAAATTTAATAGCATGTGATTTGAAAGAAGACAGGGCATATGATTTAATTATCTTAAATTCCATGAAAATATTTTGGAAGCCAGCTTTGATCCCAACAGTGCTGGCTCTTGCTAACTATTTCCCAGTAACAGATCTTCAAGACTGGTAAGATACTA